TACACCCTAAACCGTAAACCCTAAACCCTAAACCCTAAACCCTACCCTCACCACCACACAGTTGTTCCCAAGCACATGTGTTCATGTTCGTGTTGCTGTGAAGCCTTCCCAGAGAGCCCTATACCCCTTAATTAAGGAATATACCTTAAATCATAATATTAAGGCCCCGATAAGTTAAGGTATATTCCTTATTTAAGGGGTGTTGGGCTCTCTGGATTCTCCCCACCCAGACTCGACCTCGCACCTCGCCGTTTCCGGGCATAGGTGCATCGGGGTCTTTGTCAACCCTCGCATACTGAAATACTGGAACCAGGCCTTCTGTCAAAGGCACCCAGAGAGCCCAATACCCCTTAGTTAAGAAATATACCTTAAATCATAATATTAAGGCCCTTATAATTTAAGGTTTTTTCCTTTTTTTAAGGGGTATTGGGCTCTCTGGGATGATGTCTTGTGTCTAGATGATCCATGCGGAGCCCCCCACTGGACCAACCTTACTTGGAGGATCATGGGACTTAGTAAGTAAGGTCATAAGTACCCTAGTTGGGGTTATATTTATAAGTTACCTTATTTAGAACCCTAAGCCCTAAACCCCTAGTTATAGTTACCTTATTTATCATAACTCTAGTTACTAAGTCCCATGATCCTCCAAGTATGGAACCCCTCAAGATGGATCATGAGCCACGAGCGCCAAAGGATCCTGCAGAGCAACGCCACCGTCGCGACGCAGTCCACGAACCCACAGCACCTGCGCACTTCGGCCCGCACTTCGAAGAGTTCGCATTTCCCGTTTGGGTAGTTTTCTAAATCAGGGTCCCTTTTTAGGTCCCCAATATAGTACGGCACCCTTATAAAAAGGACCCTAAAAGGGACCCTAATTTAGAGAACTACCCATTTGGGGGCCCTCTGTCTTGGGAATTATCCCTTAATTAAGGAATATACCTTAAATTATCGTAGGATCCCAAAAATGATAATTGGAGTCTCTGACAATCCTGGTTCTGGAGAATGCGCAGTGTCTCGATTCGAAATCAGCTTTCGACTTCTCGGGCATTTGGCAAGCCAAGCTGAATCGCAGCGTCGCAGATCCTTCTGAAACCCCTAAACCCTAAAGCCCTAAGCCCTAAGCCCCTAAACCCTAAGCCCTAAACCCTCAGAACACAACCCCTGAACCCTAAAGCCCTAAACCCTAAACCCCAAACACATCCTCCCGCGAAGGCAGTGACTTGGAAATCTTCGATTTCACGTTGACGGACGAGGCGACTTGGCAGGAATTGTTTAGGGTTTAGAGTGGTTGTGTGAGATTTGGGAGAGAACACAAGGCTTGGGGGTGAAATTCGGCTGCGGCTAGAAGTGGATGCGTAAGCATGAAGACCTACGTTCAGGGAGCCGGGCGTCGTAGCTTGGAGTGGGTTTCCATTTTCCTCCAGCTTCTACACGGAATGTCTGGGCGGATGCGAAGCTGAATTGGCCAACTAGTTTCGGTATCTCTGCCAATTTGGTTGCAATCTCCGAGCATTCGGAATCTGGGGACCCTAATATAAGGGCCTAAACAATTACCAATATTGTTTTGGGGGCTCTGGTCTCGGCTCTCTTCTTATGAGAAAGAAGGGCTTTTTATTCCATGAGAAACACTGGGCGCCAAGCTCGAAACACTCGAGGCGGCAATATCTTCAGGCCGTCAAAAGCGATTCCTGCAAACTCCCAGAGAGCCCAATACCCCTTAATTCAGGAATAGACCTTAAATCATAACATTAAGGTCCCTATAATTTAGGGTATACCTCAAGAACCCAAAACCCACTTTTTTGTAGGCTCTTGTTATAAACCCTAATATGGGATTTATCGGGGCCCTACAAAAAAGTAGGTTTGGGGTTCTTAGGGTATTCCTTATTTAAGGAATACTGGGCTCTCAGGGCTGGTCCCTTCTAACCAGAAGCTGCAGCGCACAGCCCAGAGACGCCAATATCCCTTTATTAAGGAATATACTTTAAATCATATTAGGGATCCTAGTATAATTTAAGGTATATTCCTTAATTAAGGGATGTTGGAGTCTCTGAGAACTCAAGACACGGAGCGTAGGACAGCGCACCTTCCCGAACAACCAGGCTTTATATAACGATATAGTGGTACGGCTGATGGACAAAACCCTGCATGACCTTAAAGACTTATATACCTAAACTATGGGGGTTATGGTACTATACTATATTTGGGCCCTGCAGAATTTTGTCCCCTAAACCCTAAACCCTAAACCCTAAACCGTAGACAGCGACTTCTGCCTGCCAGGAGATGCAGCAGCTAAACGATCACTCACCGGAACTTCTTGTGGTCTGAGTGAGGCATGCCCAGAGAGCCCAATACCCCTTAATTAAGTAATATATACCTTAAGTTATAGGGGCCTTAATATTATGATTTAAGGTATATTCCTCAATTATGGGGTCCCTTGGGCTCTCTGGGAACTTTAGGACCCTAGACCCTAAAGCCTAAACCCAAAGCCCTAAACCCTAAACCCTAAACCCTTAAGGGGATTATGATTTAAGGTACATTCCTTATTTAAGGGGTATTGGGCTCTCTGGGTGCGCGATCCTGAGTGGGCCTGTTACTCCAGACTTCGCGTGTGAAGTCCTCACACAACCAGGACTAGTTGGCTTCGTGGTTCTTCAATGTTTGCGTCTATGTCAATTTGAGTCGTTGCATCTTCGTAGTTTTTTGGATAGGTCTGACATCCGACAAGAATTCAGCCATATTAAGACGAGTGCAGGAGGAACACCTTGAAGCCCAGTACCCTGGCCCAAAAAAGTTCAAACTTTTCTTTTAGTAGGGGGTGTACTATACCAATAAGTTTAAAGTTTACCTACTGGGCTCCTAAGAACAAGAAGATCAGTAGCTTTGAACCGAGATAGGTGAAGCACAGATTCAGTTGAGGCTCGCTGGGGTAGAACTAGTACTACTGAAGCAGCTGTGCTCCCCAGAGAGCCCAAGACCCCCTTAAATAAGGAATATACCTTAAATCATAGGGGCCTTAATATTATAATTTAGGGTACATTCCTTAATTAAGGGGTATTGGGCTCTCTGGGTCATGCTCGAAGAATAAGGGTAGAACATGAGAAACAAGACGCCGCAGTGTCCGGCACTAGCAATGTACCTCACATGCCTGGATATATAGACCCTCCTCCTGTTGTGTCTTGCCGTCAGTTTTGTCCGCAGAACAATCACCACGAGTAATTGAATCCTGGTTAGGCCTCACAGGGCTGCCTGCTATCTGGATCATGTCTTTCCAGCGCTGAGAGCAACTTGCACCCAGTTAGCAACCGGGTGCCAGGTATGCTGAAATTTCGCCTGCTTTGGATTGGCGCTGCGGCCGTGTGCAGGACTATACAGCACCATCGATTTGGTAGAACTTATGCATGCCCCTGCAAAGACGTAGCAACCCGAACTCCGCATCCTCGGTGCCCCTACGGATGAAATTTCCACAACCATTCACATAAATTCGCCAAGTCCTGTCGATGATTGTCTCTGTGCCGCTTGACCAAGAAGCATGCCGAGCGCGCGGGGGAGACAAAGCCTTGCTGAAGTTGCTCCTCCCAGAGAGCCCAATACCCCTTAAATAAGGAATGGACCTTAAACTATAGGGGCCTTCATCTTATGATTTAAGGTAACTTCCTGAATTCCTTTATGGATCCCTTATAGATCCCTTTAAGGAGCCCTTAAAGGTATATATTCCTTAATTAAGGGGTAAGTTGGGCTCTCTGGGCTCGTTCGGTTCAGGGTCTGAGGCGGAGCTTCGAAGCATCGTTCGGTTCGGATCCGAGGGCTTCAAAGACCCTCCAAAAGAATAGGGGCCTACTTTTTGGGGTTTAGGGTTTAGGATGTAGGATTTAGGGTTTAGGGTTTAGGGTAACTTAGGAGCCCAGTAGGGTTTAGGGTTTAGGGTATACCAATAAAGACCCTCCAAAAGAGTAGGGGCCTAAGTAATTACCAATAACATTTTTTGGGGGGTTCCTTATAAAGATTATAGTAGAATGGCCCCAAGACCCTATTCTAATTATCAAGACCCCTGTAAGTAATCCAAAACTTAGGAGCCCAGTAGGTAAACCTTACACTTATTGGTATATGACACCCCCTCCTAAAAGAGAAGTTTAAACTTTTTTGGTCCAGGGTACTGGGCTTCAAAGAAAAAAAGGGCCTAAGTAATTTCCAATACTAGGTGGCAATTTGGGAAACTTGAACATTTCCAGTATGGTTTCAAAAGAGGTACCTATTCATGAATACTTTTCAGGGCCCCAAAACTACAACCCAGAGAAATATTTTGGGGGGTTCCTTATTGTAGTAAAAAGTAGAATGGGCCCCAGAACCCTGTTATAATTATCAAGGCCCCTTATAAGAACGTTTCGAGTGGTCCGAGGTTTGCTTGCATAGCAAAGCACCGAAAGAACCGCTGGTTCGAGTGCTCAACAGACCCGGCTTTTGTTAATAGAGTTTAGGGGTTTAGGAGTTTAGGGTTTTAGGGTTTAGGGTTTAGGTTTGGTTGATGATTGATACTTGGAGGGTCATGGGACTTAGTGACTAGGGTTATAAGTAAGGTAACTATAACTATAACCCCAATTAGGGTACTAATAACCTTACTTACAAGTCCCATGATCCTCCAAGTACTGTTGATGATATAAATACTGCATTACCTAAAGGACCCTAACTATGGGAGTTATGGTATATTCCTTGTCGTATCGCAGAACTGTTTGTCCAGTGTATGACTTACCCGAAAGAATGTCAGATGCATGACCTGTAGAGGGCAAGAATTCACGCGAATCACCGGACCACGGATAGTTCCGGGACCGGCGGCCAGGACCGGGTTTGTTCAATTCAAAAACCCAGTCGCTGAAGTCTGAACTCCTTTTACTTTGAGGATCATGGGACTTAGTAACTAGGGTTATAAATAAATTATAACCACAATTAGGGCACTTATAACCTTACTTACTAAGTCGCATGATCCTCCAAGTAGTCTTGTTGAGGTCAGTCTCGTCCTTGGTGCTGGCCAGCCACTTATGCAGGCACTCACAGCTCGGGTGCCCAGAGGGATTTGTTTTGGGATTTCAAGCAAAGAGGCTGGTTTGCCCGATGTCCTAACGCAGTTACGGCGTCCCAGGGCCCATAAGCTACCCTAAACCCTAAACCCTAAACCCTAAACCCTAGGTAGAAGTCATAAAGGCTTCGGGTGCTTAGTTCTTGATGTCTGCTGCGAAAGCGAGGGAGCCGCAGGGTTGCGCCAATCTGCCGGCCGACTTGGCTACTCGGTTTAGGGTTTAGGGTTTAGGGTTTAGGGTGATTTCAGTTTTTTGTGGCCGTAGATGTCGGTGGCGGCCAATGGTGCAACGCCTTTTGAATGAGTGCGTCTGCGCTTTAGGCTAGACCGGCTTCACTCTATGAAACGAGGCCCGAAAGGACAAAAAGTGGGCCAGGCATTCATCATACGAACAAGGAGCCCCAGATGGCGCAAAAAAACGGCTTATGAACCCTAAACCCAAAACCCTAAACCCTAAAACTTAAACCGTTTTTTCCACCGTCCAGCTTCAAGGCAGGGAACTGAAGGTCGAGCTTTGAATCTTGTTGCACAGGGTCCCAAACCTTACAGCATGTATAGTAGCCCTTATAGTAACCTCTATAGACCCCTTTAAGAACCTTTTAAAGGAACCCTATAGGATTTATAGTAGCCCTTATAGTAACCTTTATAGACCCTTTTAAGAACCTTTTAAAGGAACCCTAGTCTAACTTCTACGGCCTCTCTGTATTACTGCCTATAGCATCTTATCTTATAGTAGCCCTTATAGTAACCTTTATAGACCCTTTTAAGAACCTTTCAAAGGACCCCTATTCTAACTTCTAACCCTAAACCCTAAACCCTAAACCCCCTTTTAAGAGCCTTTTAAAGGAACCCTATTCTAGCTTCTACGGCCTCTCTAAACCCTAAACCCTAAACCCTCAAACTCTAAACCCTAAACCCTAAACCCTAAACCCTAAAACCCTAAGCCCTAAACCCTAAACCCATAGAATAGCATCGAGAACTCTGGAAGTTGCTGAGGCCACAGGCGTGTCAACTGGAGCTGCAACGAGTTGGACGCTGATTCTGGAGCAGTGCCTTGACTCAAAAGGGGCCTTGAAAGAGGGTTTAGGGTGTAGGGGTTTAGGGGTTTAGGGTTTTAGGTGTTTAGGGGTTTAGAGTTTAGGGTTTAGGGGTTTAGGGTTTTAGGGTTTAGGGCCTTGAAAGACTTACAATAGGAGCCTTAATAAGTAGAATAGGGTTTGGGGGGGTAGATTATACTATAATTATAATAAGGCGTGAATCAAGGCCCCTTGAAAGACTTGGGCTTTGCGAGTTCGTTCGCTGAGGGGTCGGTTTCAAGTTTGCGTGTTTAGCCAGAGTGCGGGTCTGCGTGGTCCGATGATCAGAGCTGGCTTCAATAATGAAACCCTAAACCCTAAACCCTAAACCCTAAACCCTAAACCCTAAACCCTAAACCCTAAACCAAAGCCCGGCAAGGCTGAGACAGGAGCCAACGGAGCCTCATCACGAGCATTCTGAAGCCACCCTCCATCCTGAACGCTCCATACCCACCAGGGTCTAGGGTTTAGGGTCTAGGGTTTAGGGTTTAGGGTTTAGGGTTTAAGGGTTTAGGGTTTAGCGCCACCCAAAGCCTTTGGAGTCAGTAATATAGGGGCCTTAATAATTACCTTCTACTATTGTGGGTGTTATAAGTAGAGTACAATATACCCCAAAAGCCTATTCTAATTATTAAGCCTCCTATATTAGGCCCTCATCCCCTCCCATGTATCCCAGTGAGGTTTATGCGAAACATGTTCGTCCACGTCGGCTGCCCGATCCTTTCTTCCCCGCTTCTCATGGCCATGCCAGCCGCTCAGGAACAGCTTTCAGATCACACGATGTAGATCCAAGCAGCCAGCTTTCCGGCAAAGGCAGTTGATGAGTAACATTGGGGCCTCAACAAGTACCTAACCCTAAACCCTAAACCCTAAACCCTAAACCGAGTGACGTTCCGCGTTTGCGGCTTTCCGACTCGAAGAGGTTGCTACGGTGGTCGATGAACAGGATCGTCCTGACGGCTCTTTGGCGTCTTAAGCCCTCAACCCTAAACCCTAATCCCTAACGGTTTAGGGTTTAGGGTTTAGGGCTAATCCCTAAACCCCTAAGGTCTTTTTGCGCAGTTTCGTCGCTTTAGGTTCAAGCTTCTGAGGGTTTGGTTTGGGACTTTGACTTCGAGTCAAGCAGCTCCTTACCCCCTGACCCCTGAACAATGTAGGGACCTCAATAATTACCAATACTATTTTGGGGGTTGCTTATTATATTATATTCATATAGTATAATGGGCCCCAAACCCTAGTCGAATTATGAAGGCCCCTATATCAGCTTCCAGTAATCTGGTTGTCATGCCATTCTGACCGGTGTCACTCTCGCAATGCTTCGTTCCCAGGGCTGTTGCTGCACGTCATCCGTTTGGTGCTTGTACATAAGCCTCCAGCCCTGTACCCCAGCTGCAAGAACTGAACTTGCAACAACTTAGCCCACCAAGATGGCGATATTGCAGCCGAATAGTTCTGGCTCAGTACTTGTTATTGCCCAAGTGGTTAGCATGTCAGTGTAACTACCTGCAAGCGGCTGAAGATTGTGAGTACCCATCTCCCGCCTTTCTGCCCGAAAGCCAGCCTGCAGCAACCCAGAGAGCCCAATGCTCCTTAAATAAGGAATATACCTTGAATCATAATATTAAGGCCCCTTAGAATTTAAGGTATATTCCTTAATTAAGGGGTATTGGGCTCTCTGGGAACTAGGACTTCTTCATCAACAACGCGGTGCAGCCCTTGTGGGAAATGGCGAAGAAAGCCTTGCAGCCGCTCGGCGCCCTATAAAGTCGAGAGCAGAAAGAGCGGCACCAAAGCTCCCATAAAGGGAACAATCCGCAAAAACAGGCATTACTTGGAGGATCATGGGACTTAGTAAGTAAGGTCATAAGTACCCTAACTTAACTGGGGTTATAATTATAGTTACCTTATTTTTAACCTTAGTTACTAGGTCCCATGAACCTCCAAGTACAAAAAAGGGGCCGAGACATCAGGACATTGAGAAGGGTTTTTAGAACCTGGGGGTTCGGTCTCTGAAGGTGTCCGGCAGCGACTACACTGGGGATTTCGGCTCCTGACTGGCGAACCGAAGAATCATAAGTCATATGCAACCCAGAGAGCCCAATACCCCTTATTAAATAAGGAATAGACCCTAAATTATGATATTAGGGCCCCTATCATTTAAGGCCTATTCCTAAACCCTAAACCCTAAACTCTAAACCCTTATAGATCCCTTTAAGGGCCCCTATAATTTCAGGTATATTCCTTATTTAAGGGTTAAGTGGGGCTCTCTGGGATGCTTTCAAGCGATTCAGGAGATCTGGAGATGTGAGGGGAGGGAGGTGCTCTGAAGGCTTCTGGGACTCAGTCGGCTACAGGACGATCCCCTTACGCCCCTAAACCCTAAACCCTTATAGTAACCCTTATAGAACCCCGTACAAGGAACCCTTTAAACTTTAAAGGAACCCCCCGAAACCCTATTCTAGTTATTAAGGCACCTATATTATGTATGCCAAGCCCTAGAATTAGAAGGGAGGATGACGACTTGCTCTGCAGAACAGGGCTGCAGAAGTTGTTCAGCACCCATGAGGGATAAGAACTCGCTAGCCAGAGAGCCCAATACCCCTTAAATCGGGAATCTATACCTTAAGTTGTGGGGGGGCCTTAATGTTATGCCTTAAGGTTTATATTCCTTATTTAAGTAAGTATATTCCTAAACCCAAAACCCTAAACCCTTATAGATCCCTTTAAGGGCCCCTATAATTTCAGGTATATTCCTTACTTAAGGGGTAAGTGGGGCTCTCTGGGTAGCCTCAGAGATCTTCGTTGCCGTGCGCTGGCCAAGGCCGGTGACCGCGTTCCTGGAGATCAACAAGGACCTCCGTGGTCCCAGAGACCCCAATACCACTTAAGTAAGGAATATATAGACCTTAAGTTATAGAGGGCCCTTAAAGGAATCTATAAGGGTTTATAGGGTTTAGGGTTTAGGAATGTACCTTAAATTATAGGGGCCTTAATATTATGATTTCTTAAGGAATATACCTTACGGGGCTACGACTCCTTCGCTGGATGGTTCTGTAGAGAAGTAGAGTCGTGGGATGTGCGTGGTTATACAAGTCCTCGTTAACCATGCCAGCATGCATGTTAAGTTTTGTGTTTTCAACCCTAAACCCTAAACCCTAAACCCTAGACCGTGGTCATGACGACCTGTTGCATGTTGATTGGGTCAACGGAAGCCTCATCCACTGGAATGGCCGCCACCATCCTGAAACCGTGAACCACGGTTTAGGGTTTAGGGTTTAGGGCCACCATCCTGAAACCGTGAACCTCGCAGCAGAGAAGGACCCAGACTCAAGTCCTTCAAGGCCTCCACAGAAGCACCAGATCCTATAAACCATCCTACAACCTAATCCCTAAACTATTCTAAACCCGAAACCCTTAAAGCCTAAACCCTAAACCCTAAACCCTAAACCCTAAACCCCTAAACCCCTAAACCCCTAAACCCCTAAACCCCTAAACCACCCCAAACCCTCAACCGTGGAGCTCCGAAGTTGATGTGGGGGTTTCTGAAAATAGGGGACCCCAAGATAGTACCCCAAATAATAGGATCCTTATTATAAGGACCCCAAATAATAGGATCCTTATTACAAGGACCCCACAAATAATAGGATCCTTATTACAAGGACCCCAGGACCCTTATTATAAGGACCCCAAATAGTAGGACCCTTATCATAAGGAGCCAAAAATAAGGTACCCCTTATTTTCGGAAACTCCCATGTCAGGAGGTCTTCCGGGTCTCAGCGGATGTTCTGAAAGCCATTCTGCGGGCTGTGCGGCTGCCTCTAAGCTGCAGAAAAAGACTGTCTGGTGCTTAGTAGGGAATGGGGGAGTGGGTTGACTACTATAAGGAACCTTGAGGGACGATCATCCCTAAACCCTAAACCCTAAACCCTAAACCCTAAACCCTAAACCCTAAGCCCTAAGCCCTAAGCTGCAGAAAAAGATGCCTCTTTTCGGCTCCCAAGGCCCCGAAAACTCAGGATTTCTAGGGCTCTAGGGCTTTAGGGTCTAGGTTTTTAGGGTTTCTAGGATTTTAGGGGTTTAAGGTTTAGGGGTTTAGGGTTTAGGGTTCCAACCCAGTGAAAGAAATCTACTCCATGCTTTAGCACACTCCAGGGTCCCGAAGACGATCTTTGAGGGCGAGCTTCCCCGCGAATTCGCCGAACGCAAGTAGTCTGGTTCCAACGCAAGAGCAGGGAGGGAAGACTGTACTTGGGGGATCATGGGACTTAGTAAGTAAGGTTATAAGTGCCCTAGTTGGGGTCATAATTATAGTTACCTTATCTATAACCCTAGTTACTAAGTCCCATGATCCTCCAAGTAGCGGAAGGAGGCACTTGGGAGTTCGCCGATTTCCGTTGTTAGGGCCCTCACCCAGAGAGCCCAATACCCCTTAACTAAGGAATATACCTCAAATCATAGTATTAGGGCCCCTATCATTTAAGGTGTATTCCTTATTTAAGGGGTGTTGGGCTCTCTGGGATCATAGTAAACTAAACCCCAAACAGGAATATACCTTAAATCATATTAGGGATCCTATTATAATTTAAGGTATATTCCTTAATTAAGGGGTTTCGTAGTCTCTGGGCACTTAGGTACACGTAGGAAGGGCCGCGCCGACCCAGGAGACAAGATCCAGCTCAAAGCGACGCGACCAACTCGACCTCAGATGATAGGCCGCCTGCCAAGAAGCAGAGGCTGTCGGGGTTTAGGGTTTAGGGTTTTGGGTTCAGGGTTTGGGGTTTAGGGTTTAGGAAGTGCCTGCCAAGAACTGTCTGGTGCTTAGTAGGGAATGGGGGAATGGGTTATAGGGATTACTATAAGGAACCTTAAGGGCTGCAGACCTTAAGGACGAAATGATCCCGAAAAGGGTTTCAGGCTCATATAAAATGTAGGGATTCATAGTATAGGGGTATCTAAGCTGCAGAAAAAGACTGTCTGGTGCTTAGTAGGGAATGGGGGAATGGGTTATAGGGATTACTATAAGGGACCTTAAGGGACTATCATAGGGATCCATTCCCCCATTCCCTACTAAGCACCTGGCAGAGAAGCAGAGGCTGTCGGAAGTGGTCGAAGGTTTTGGAGGGGCAAAGTGTGGATCATAAAAAGTTCGAGTGCTGCTGCTCGATGTAGGGGCTCACTACGGTGGAAGCAAGGCGTGTAGGTCGACAGCACGGAATTTGCAGGATTTTCACTCTGGTGTTTCTGTTTGACGCCGCAGACCTCGAATGCCCCCAAGGTAACGTTCGGGTGGACAACCGTTTCTTCTGTAACATAGGGGCCTTCATGATTAGAATAGGGTTTTGGGGTCTATTATACTGTAATTATAATAAGGAGCCCCCAAAACCCTACTCTAATTATTATGGCCCCGACATTACCTGCTTAACCACACCCTTGTAGATGATCCGGTTGCCCCTGGATCTCCACCTTGCAAAAAAGGCAGTCATGGATAGAAGCCGCCCGGGAGTTCCATGCTACTGCGGCGGCTGACGTCTTGTTTCCTGGACCGTTGGCTTAGTATGAATTTGGTTTTTGTGGCCTTGGTTTTCATAGAATCGGCTTGAAAAGGCTTCCAGGTATTGAAAACTTCAGTTTGGGCGGGCAATTTGGAGATTCGCGCTCTGCGGTGTGGATTCAGAGGCATTGCGAGACGCAAGGCTGCAAGAGCCGCGAAGGTCTAAGTATGTTGGGGTTTCGGCAGCATGCAGACTTGCAGCAACCCTAAACCCTAAACCTTAAACCCTAAACCCTAAACCCTAACTTGTGGAATCCGATCCGAAAGCGGCAGCACCCGTGCCATGCAGAAGGATCTCGAGTTTGGGGTTTGTTTTACCCAGGAGCCTTAATAATTAGAATAGGGTTTGGGGTATATTTTACTATGATCCCAGAGAGCCCAATACCCCGTAAGTAAGGAATAGACCTTAAATTATAGGGGCCTGAATATTATAATTTAGGGTATATTCCTTAATTAAGGGGTATTAGGCTCTCTGGGATTATAATAAGGAACCTCCAAAACCATATTATAATTATTAAGGCCCCTACATTAGCTTCTGACAAATGCTCGGAAGCCTTGAACAGCCTTCCACCCAGAGCGCAAAAGATGGCTGCCGAGGTACCCCGATACCCTATATGAATGAGCCCAAGTAACTCAGATCGCCTTTCTCAAGTCTCGCACAGAGGTTTTTGTCTGCCGAAAGTGCTTTCCGACAAGTCGGCACCCAAGTCCCAAGTGTCAGACATCTGAAGCTGAAGCTACAACCCAAATCAGACAAGCCCGCGAATCGATAAAACTTATACAGAGATTTAAATGGGTCGCCCAAAGAGCACATAGGCAAAAGTTAGGAGAGTGATATCCCCAAATCCTTTGAAGGGCCCCTATTAAACCTCCCTAAACCCTTAACCCTAAACCCTAAACCCCAAACCCTAAACCCCCAAAGCCTTTCATTTCCTCCGACTCCAGTTACGCCTTTTTGTCCGTGACCTTTGGCGCCGCCTGGCGGGCCTTGGCAACAGCCGCTTGCACGGTGGAGCCTTGCTTGAAACTAGGGTTTAGGGTTTAAGGGTTTAGGGTTTCAGGGTTTAGGGTTTAGGGTTTGGGGTTTAGGGTTTAAGGGTTTAGGGTTTCAGTCCAGGAGAAGATCGTGAATTTGCTTTGCTTGTGCCCGCCTGTGTTCCATAACCTCTGCATACTTCGTAATTTAAGCTTAGCAATGAAGATAAATCGATAGAGGCGACCTATGCGCATCCGTGTCTGAGCGCTTTTGTGTTGTCTTTGCGGAGCGTCGAGGTTGTACATTCCGACACCGGTTTCTTTGACTCCCTGTCGTTCCGTTTGTTCATCTCTTTCCCCAGAGAGCCCAATACCCCTTAGATAAGGAATATACTTTAAATCATAATATTACGGCCCCTATAATTTAAGATATATTCCTTGTTTAAGGGGTATTGGACTCTCTGGGTCTGTCCCTTGCCACATCTCTCTCGATCTCTCTTTCTCCGCCTTCCTGCGTGTCGAAGGGTTTGCTCCCAGAGAGCCCAATACCCCTTGAATAAAAAATCTACCTTAAATTATAGGGGCGTTCATAGTATTGTTTAAGGTATTTTCCTTACTTAAGGGGTATTGGGCTC